TCTGTTGACTGAATCATGTCGTATTTCTCGAGCAACATGTGTGGATGCATGATCCCTTGCAAGTATTTTTAGTTTTAGGTTGCATGCAGTGGCCTTTGGTGCGTGATTATAGACCATGAATAGTTTAGGATGTGCATTTGTTGAACCCTTATAAAAGGAAGTGAAGAATGAATCGAGAGCCAGTTAAGTGGGATAGAAGTTGCATGTCCATCTTCTTGCCAATGTTCAACCCGTCGCGTGTGTTGGAGTGTAGTGGCATCCACCGGTTCAAGTTAGTGATTTGATCCGAGACTAACATCCAAGGCTCTTGGATCGTGCCTAGCTTCTGCATCAGCTTGATTAGCATTATGAGGGCTACAATGTTAGCAACTTCTTCATCCATGTTGACATGATCGATTGATGTGCACCTTTCCTTCTTCAACACATTCAGCAATGAAGTAAAATCTCGTGTCTATGTGTTTGCTCCGGTCATGGTGAACTGGATTCTGGCACAACGCAATTGTTGATTTGTTGTCCAGTCCCAGCTTGATCGTCCTTGTTTACATGCTCTTCAGGTCCGAAAAGGAGTCACTAAGGCATAGGCCTTGGCACACCGCGGTCGCTGCTTCTATTCTGCCTTGCAAGATAAAAATGTGTCATGATATTCTATCCATGTGTTAACATGTTATTTTCATGTGAGGCGAAATACTTTGAGGCAGCGGCAGCAGATGGCCACGACATAGCTCTGTCGAATCCTTGCAGACATGCAGGGCATACACCATGAGCAAAGGAAGGTCACACCATTTGTGGGCAATAACTCCGCGGTTGCACTGTCCAAGAAACCTATCCACCATGATCGGAGCAAACACATTGACATCAGATCTCATTTTCGATGACAGAAAGGTTATCGAACTTGTTCAGTACGGACAAACAACTTGTGACATTGTAACGAGGTGTGCATCAGATCAAGCTATTGCAGATGTTGGCTAGGTGCAATCACTGTGAAGCCATGTGGCCATGATTGGAGGTGATTTGTCGAACTTAATCTACGCGGCTGGATCAGCCATGTTAATATTTCTTGAAAAAATATGTTGGTATTTATGTTATCTGTGATAATTGATATCGCGGAGCATGCATTCTATAGGTTATGGACCAGACCCATGGGAAGAAGAAGCTTAATATAGGATCTAATTGCTCTTATCCATTTTTTGTATATTTCCGTTGACAGGTTAGAGTGTGTGATTTAAGACTATCAGTAGAAACATCAAGAAAAACTGAGGATCCTGTATTTCTTCCCATTTTTGCATTTTTGCCTTCTTCCTCTCCCCAATAGGCAACTGCATAATTCCTCCTCAACACATAGCGGTGCCTTCTTTCATCCTCGGCTGTGTATCAACTGCGCCGGTCATGCTAAACTAAATATCTCTCGTCTTATCTAAATATCTCTCGTCTTTGATAATTAATTTTATTCTTGGCTTCCCTAGGTCTGTGACAGGAGCTCGGACATGGTGATGCAGACTATACAATGACATGGTTGGTGGTAGTGGTACAAAGATACCATGGTTTGCACTTGACAGGTCACTCATATGGGGGCATGAACAGAAGTACTCAAATAAAGCATGTAAAATGTCATCAGAAATGGCATCCGGCTGGTTTAATTTAGGATGAGTATAGAAATGTAAATAGCGTGCACGTAACTTAGTCTTTGTTTCCTCGGGCTGAGGAACCCTTCTCTTCTGCTCATTGGCACCCGCCACTACGCACTAGCATGCATGTAGTCGCGGATTGCCAACCTCTTGTATTCCGCTCTTTCTATCAGTGAAATGATAAGACACATGGCATGTTCGCAAAAGAAAAAAAATGTAAATAGCAGAGAGAACAGTCGAGAAAGGTTTGCTTGAGCAATGCCATCTTTACCAAAAAGATTTGTTCATTGGGTTTGCTAATTTACAATTGCTGATCTCAACCTTCACAAGCCATGGACATGTTTAAACATGCGAGACACACATGCATTTTCCCCAGCAGATGAGATGTATTCACAGTGCCTAGTGAAGAATCATGAACACCGTTTCTTTGTGTGGATAGTCCCCTGGATGAGGTTGATCAGGCTTCAATCCGATTTGAGTTTGATCAGAGTTTTTTCTTTGAGGGGCATCTCATCTGATTTGTACTTAGGCCTTGCCAGTATTACTGACTGACATGCAAAGCAATGTGCGAGAAGCTCATCAGTGTGCCATCACTTTCACCTCTGATCCGGCTGTTGCTGAATAATAAAATGCATGACGATACATGCTGTGCGTCATACCAGTGAGCTTGTGTCGTGTCCAGCGCGCAGCTTGACACAGACGCGCACCATGCGTTTAATTATTGAGCCCTTTTACTATGCTTGTCTGTTTAATTATTTGGAACGAGAGACATGTTAAAGCGTTTAGGAAGAAACCCACATACACCATATACTACATTCTCAAGCTTATCCAAGACGAGGCAAAGTTTTGGGTCACCATTGGGCTAGCCACTTGAGCATCATGATGCCTCTAGAATAATCCATATATGTTTCTTTATCTGACGGGCCATGTTGTGGAGCCAGTGTTATGTGCCCAAAACTCTTCTTAATTAATGATTAATGAATGAAGGAAGCCTTTTGTCTCCATTTAAGAAAGATATTAGCCCGCGTGTGTTTGTCATCCCCAGATAAGTATATTAGCGTTTGTTGCAGTTTACGTTGCAACCAACCAGAGACC